CACACACACACACACACACACACACACACACACACACACACACACACACACACACACACGTATACACACACAAACAGACAGACATCCACAAATATGCACATGCAACATTATGTTCTCCACAGACATAAATATCTGAAATTAATTTTGTATTTTGAGTTAGCTCTAGTCTATATTTTCTTACATTGCATTGTCTCACTTTCACTCATTCTATTAACATTTTATTTTATGAACCCTTTAATTTCTTTCTCAATGCCTTTTTTTTTTTTTTTACTTTGTCACCATAGAACTCCAGTGTTGCACGGAAACTGTTCAAACCCCAGCAGTGACACGCTCCCTCATTACCATGAACACTATAGTTTATTTCCAGTCAGTCCCACACACTCCGTCCTGCTGCCAGAATTATTCCCTCCCAGCAAATCAAATGCAAATTAATCAGAGCCTGAAAATAGTCCCAAACAAATGCAAAAATCTATTCCTGTTTCATTTACTGAGAACCTACAGAGCACAGCTGCTCTATTAATATGTTGTGTATGGATGTGACCTGTTTTGAAAGATTTACATGTTCATGGCTTTGAGCAAAGGGGGTAATTAGGTAGTTTTAGCTCCGACATCAATCAGCATAATCAGTTCATCAGTTTGTTCTATAATAGTTTTTATATTGTTTTGATGTATCGCTGAGTATGATCTGGCTTTTCTGTGTATCCTTACTCTCATCTTTTTTATGTGTAGCACCTTGTAACTCTGGTTTTAAAAAAAGTGATATAGAAATAAAGTTTATTATTAATATTTGCTAAAGCTCAGTCAACCTTTGGGTCAGTGTCTGTGTGTGTGTGTGTGTGTGTGTGTGTGTGTGTGTGTGTGTGTGTGTACTCACCTATAGAGTCAGGGAGGTGCTGCAGCATGTTGGAGGACAGCAGCAGGTCCTCTAAGGACTCACAGCCTGAAACATCCGTGTCCAACGTCTCAATTCGATTCTTAGCTAAGTCCAGGTATCGCAACTGACGGAGCTTCCCTAACGACTGCACAGAGGAGAGAGAGAGGGACGATTGAATAATAGAAAACAGACAGAGGAGCCAATGATGTGAGAGGAAGAGGCATTCAATTATTTGTAGTGCTGTGTTTTTTCACAGTAAAAGCGGCGAGTGCTCTTACCCCTGGTATAGACTGTAGAGAGTTGTTATCCAGCCACAGCTCCCTTAGGTTGTGGATTTGCTCCAACACCTCTGGCTAAGATGTGAAACAGAGGAAAACATGGAGACTTGAACTGACCAGATGAACATATAGACAATTATTTCATTCAAGATAAAAAAAATACAATCTGTTGCACAAACGTTCATATTGTTCATATTGTTCATTTCATTTCCTGGTCAGTGTGCTGCAGATCCACAGGTGAGGGCTATGGTTAGTAAAAGCTAACCGACTGCATATTTGAAGAATTGCTGACGTTGCATAATGTGTGTTACACTGTAAATACACACATGATTACTGAGACACTGAGCTTCCAGTGGGAACAGAGGATTATATGTAAGTATGATTTCTATAAAACACACTGACTGTGGTAACATGCAACAAATGACTCACCACTTCAGAGAATTCGTTGCTACCCAGATCCAACCTTTCCAACTGTGTCAGTCTGTGGATAGACCTGAGGAGAGGAGAGGAAGAGGAGAGAGGGAGGGGAGGGGAGAGGAAGAGGAAGAGGAAGAGGAGAGGAAGAGGAAGAGGAGAGAGGAACAGGGAGAGGAAAGGATGAGAATGAGGATGAGGAAGAGGGAGAGGAAGAGGAAGAGGAAGAGGGAGAGGAAAGGATGAGGATGAGGGAGAGGGAGAGGAGAGAGGAAGAGGAAGAAAACACTTAAACATCTCAACATCTAACATTTCTAATATTTTCTTTCGAATGATGATGGATACAGTGACAGAGATAAAATATAAATGCAACAACAAATTATCAAGTGCAACATTCTCTGTTTGCAGATGTGATGCTGCATCTTTTCTTTTTCAGATTCTTTTAAATTTCCATTTTCAACACAGTCCTGCTGTTGAAGCGATGATGTGATTCCCCAACTTCTACAATCTCAAGGACAAACCTTTATAGCTTCACTTTAGTTTAAGAAAGTTTAAGTTTAAGATTTAAGTCTTGTTGATTAGTTTTCAGAAACATTTGTGTTCAAGTGGCGAATTCAGTGACAGAAGAACAGGACACATTTGAAACGTATTCCTGCTCTGAGGGAATTCATCAGTATTGGAGACTATTGAACACCTGCCTGGAAAATGTATGTTTCAATCTGGACGCCTGAGAAGACACACTGAGTTACATCACAGATCATCTGTGTGTGTATAAGTGTGTGTTGTGATTAGTGGAGCACAGAGATTATAATTCACTCTGCACAAACACCCACAGACACACTCATGGAGCTTTGTCTCACTTTGGCATGGTTTTCAGGTGGTTCTCTCTCAGCTCCAGGATCCGTAGTTTGGAGAGTCTGAAAAACAGAAGACACAAAAAAACAAAACTCAACTTAATGTCGTGAACGTATGAAAATGCAACAAAGGAAATTAAGAAACTCATCTGTTTACCTGCCAAAGTTCGCCGGCAGATACTCCAGGAAGGCATCGTTTAAGAAGAGCTGGGTCAGATTCAGGAGCTGCGTGAATCCATCAGGGAGTCTGAGAGAGAAGGAAGGAAGGAAGGAGGAAGGAAGGAAGGAAGGAAGGAAGGAAGGATAAGATAGAAAAATAAAGTGAGTGTCCTTGAAGCGCCTCAGTGGAATAAAAGATGGACAATGTTTCCTTAACAAGCCCTGCAGAAACTCCTAGCTGCTGCCTGCAGATGACTCATCTCTTACACTCCTGCGAGCACGCGCACACACACACACACGCACGCACACACACACACACGCACGCACGCACGCACACACGCACACACACACACACGGAGTCAAAGAAGCTGTCTGCAGCAGCTGGTGCTGAGTAAACAGCAGCACTTTGTTGTTACTGTCGTTATTTCTCTATCGGAGCTCGAGTCACAGTGGAACACAGATATACATGTATGTGGTTGTGTACAGGGTCTGCTGGTGCAGTCATGCAGTAGAAGATCAGCTCCTCTGTGGAGCAGCAGACACATGGGAGGGAATATGTGAAAGCAAAGACAAAAGAACAGGGCTGGGGTCTTGACATAAGATTGAAGCAGAGATCAGCTCCAAAAGCCAAATGTGGAAAATGCATCAAACTGTCGAGGTTCACTAAAACCTGTCTGAGTGTCGGGAACTGTGTTAGGGAGGCAGTTTAACATTTGTGAGAGATGTTGAAGTGATCAGCAGAGGTTCTGCTTGTGGTATCAGTGAGCTGTGTGTGTGTGTGTGTGTGTGTGTGTGTGTGTGTGTGTGTGTGTGTGTGTGTGTGTTCTTACTTGGTGATAGGGTTGACACTGGCCTCCACCACAGACAGACCTTTACAGCATTTTATATTGTCTGGAAACTCCTGGATACCTGTGACAGACGGAGAGAAATCTAATGTTTAATACGTTTTTAAAAAAAATGATTGGATCCTTTATCCAGCAAAAATATTACAATTTCACTTTGAATAAATCAGTGAAGTTAATCAATAGTTGCAGCTTTAAGTGTTGTAAAGTCTGATCGCAGAGTTGTATTATCATGGTTTTTAATGTTGTTGTAAAATCGTTGTGATTACAAGCTGGTGCTCATTCAGCTTTTGTAGGTGCTGCACAGACTGTGATTCAAATTTTATGAAGCAGCACACGGAGATGAGGATCTTCTCTCGTCGGTCTATCATCGAGATCAGCTGCTGACTTTTACTTTGCTTGGTTCGATGGATCACTTCACACTTTTACCATTTTTACTGATGTCCAGCTCTTTGAGGTTGACCAGGCTGGCGATGGTGGTGGGCAGGTTGGACAGGTCGTTATCCGGCATGCTCAGCTTCTTCAAGGCCTGGCAGTTAAAGAGTTGCTACAGGAACACAGAGGGAAGATAAAGCAGTATTATGGTCTGTTGCCAGAAATCACACAGTCCTTTAACGCAAAGTTACCAAAGGTCAAGAGAGTGAAAGAGAAGATCAGCCGGAGGCGACTCAATGTTGTGGAAAAACACGTGTCATAATAGCTGCCATGGTTTATAATGTACGTGGGCCCCTGAGGACAAAACACAAACACGAGTCCAAAACAATCAGACAGGCGCTCTGAATTTGAAAAATACTGCAAAAGCCACAACACATACAAGAGTAAAAGTACAGGAGAGAAAACCCAGGCAGACATTAGAGGCTAGAAACACAAACAAATCCATGAACTCAGCAGTGGCAAAGAAAACTCAACTCAAGCTCCAGTTACTTTTTCAGAGATTCCAGCTGCTGTTTTAAACCCTGCATCAATACTAATGATTTCAAATGGCTTTCATACACACGCTGTTTACCCCCCGTGCTCCATCGTCTTTTTATATATGTAGTTTAATTGTGTAATAATAATAAAACATTCTATTGATTTAAAAAGAATTTAAGTTGGGGTGAATGTAAAAAGTGCAAAATAAAGATGTGATAAGAAAACGAGCAGTGATTAAAAGAAACGTCAAATAGTAATAATAGTAAACCTAATGATAGTAATAGTGAGGAGGGATTCAAATGCTGCAGTGCAGTTAAGAGACGAGGGGACGCACCTGGAAGAGCACGGCCACGCTTGCTTTTAAGTTTGCAGCTAAAGGTTTTTAATTGGCTGATGTTTGGGACCTGACTGAGCTGTAAGTTGTTTTAAAGCCAGCTCATAATCATGGCTGCTGAGGAGAGGATGAGCTGCAGCTGGAGACTGAGTGAGAAGTCAAGCAGGTAAAAAGAGAGAGAGTTACATCAGAGCAGCGCTGTTTCTGAGTCATGGAAGTTGAGCAGGTGACTGATCCTGGAGATATTTCTAATTGATACGAGGATCGGCTGATGTTTCCAGTGCGCGGCTCAAAAGATAAGTGGCTATGACCAAGAGCCACACACACACACACACACACACACACACACACACACACACTTAAGGAGCTCTTCAGCCCTCTTACATAAAGGCCAATCACTCTGGCAGCCTCAGTGGCTCTTATCCAATCTTGCACACACACACACACACACACACAAACACACAAACACACACACAACACACAGACACACACACGCCAGAGCACATTTTCATATTTTGTCGGCTGAATGCGAGTTGGGGCTGCCACTTACGTCGCTCTATTAGACTTCATTCATGCGGGGCTATTTTTAGAAATCCAGTTCAACATCTCCGCCTTTTAAACCAGGACAGAATTTTAATAAAACACACCCCCCTCCTAAAAACAGAGCCTGTAGTTCCCCTCGAAATATTACTTATTACTGCTCACACAGAGGTTGACTGAAAGTGTTGGATGATGGATGCCCTGTCATGGCCTGTGTGTAAACCCCACACACTGAATCTTTAAAGGGGTCAAAGGTTAAAAGCGTCAGCATGTGGCGGTGCGTTACCTTGGGTAGTTCCTCGATCTGGTTGGCGTCGAGGTAGAGCTCCTCCAGAGTTCTCTCGAAGCTGAAGATTTCTTTGGGGACCTGCTGCAGGCTGCAGTGAGAGTAGTCCAACACCGAGATCACTTCCTCTTCACCGCGGAAACAACGGCACGGCACCAGCCGGCCAATCAGCTTCCGCTTCGTGGTCATTTCCAGACACTGCACTGTGGAGGCACGAGGAGGAGAGAGATGATTTCAGAGAGTAAAAAGTAATCAATAATTATCTGTACTATTCATATACTAAACACAATATAGAGTAGATACAGTTGATAACGTAGTAGACTGTTGGGCAATACACATTACTACTCTTACTACTCTTACTACTCTTACTACTCTTACTACTCTTACTACTCTTACTACTCTTATACTACACTCAATAAATTTACTTTTGTTAACGTCAAACGTACTTTTACTCGAGCAGAAAAGTTAACGTGATACCTTTACTTTTACATTTTTGTGCATTTAATTGTACTTTTCCTTCAATAAACTGTCGTAGTAATTTCTCCATGACTGTTCAGCCATTATTTAAATCAGTTCACACAATGATTTGTTAGCTGCAGGCTCATATTGATAAAAAGTACAAAAAAGAGCTCTTCAGTTTACACAATGTACTTAAGAACGCAGCAGCGTTAGTCTGTTATTTGCATTTCAATGTTTAACAGGATGTTTTAACACTTTCTAAACCAAGAATAAATATAATATACATATATATACATAAGTTCATTTCATTTGCAATCACTGTCTCACCCTCTTTATGGTCTGCACTTGTCTGTGTGTTGCTAAATTGTCTTTATTCTCTGAGCTGCTCTGAGCTGCAGACATTGTTCTGTGAATCTCAACCCTGCACATCCTGAAGGCAGGAGGATGATAGGACCAACATTACTTCAGATTGTCTGTATTTCTTGTTTTTGCTGCCAGGCAGGTGCAAAGAAGGGCAGATGGGCAAAGACAGCACCAACCAGCAGTTACCCAGCTCACAGCAGGCGGAAGCACAACTCTCTCTCACACACACTCACACACACACACTCACACACACACACTCCTCAAACAACAAGCCATATAATTATACCAAATCCTTTGTAGTTCTGCGACAACATCCCTCCATTACACAGCTCCATTTAAAGAGCCAGCAGCTGAATGGCATAAGTAGGCTAACCATGGGTATTCAAATTCTTGAGTGAGGATTTATCGTTCAGCTTTATCACGTCAAACACTTATTACGTCAATCTACTGACAAATAAAAGCCTGAGAGGAACCTTCCCTCACGTCTCTGTTCGATGTGGACCAGGTGAATCCAGATGTGATGTGGAGGAGGAGAAATGGGGTGAAGGGACAGAAGGAGGTGAAGATGAGTGAACGGTGGTCAAAGAAAGGGAGAAAAAAGGAGGGAGAGGTTATGAAAATGAGGAGGTGCAGAGAGGGACACCAGCAGGCTCAGAGATAAGACCTGCAGCTTTATCTGTCTACACACACACACACACACACACACAGACGTCCAGCTGCACAGTGAGACCAGATGAATCTGGACGATAGACGGACTGATCTTGAGTAATTGTGGGGACACTATGTTATCTGCTCCAGTTTGTTGCAAGCCCAGTGAAATCTGATTTAAAATAAAAAGACTGCAGATCCTCCGGGACTGTTTATCTAAATGGGTTGGACCATTAAAATCAATACATCCTTATCCACAGTCACGGTCAAAGCGGGTGTAATGAGGCGAGCTGGGATTTACTGTTTGTCTACAGTATGTGTGAACCCGGTGGTTTTCACCGTGCTCTCACCTTGGGCCGGCGGTTCCTGGCTAACCCCGTCATGTTTAACTGGTAACACAGAGTTTGTTCAGCTCTGGGACACAGGGTCGGCTTTAACAGAGAGGATTACACAGCTCAGACTAGAAGGAAAAAAGATTCTTAAAGCAACTTCTGTGTTTTTCTTTTCTCTTACGCCAGCAGGGTGAGACTCAATTCCATTTTCTTACTTTGTCATTGATATATGAGTGTTTTAGGGCTAATTCATGAAAGAAAAACAACACTGTAAATCAACAGAAAACAATTTAACCAACGCAAGATAGTAAAAACATTTAAAAACAGTAAAAAATCTTGCAGCCGCCATGGGTTCAGTTTCTTCCTCCTCTCTCGACAACAATTTCACACCTTATATAATTTTACACCATCGTGTCAATAAAGGCTAAATGCCTGAAAAGATGTCTTTAAAAAAAAAAGTGACACTTCTTCTGATGGACAGTTTTAGTGTCTATCTATCCATTCATCTCTACCGCTGATCATCTGAGGGTTGTCGTGGGGAACTGGGGCCGATCCCAGCTGACGTTGGGGGTGAGGACAGGTTGCCAGCGTGCCACATCCCAAATCTGAATGTTTTTGGACGGTGGGAGGAAGCCGGACTTTGCACTGCTCAGAGAAAACAGGTTGAATCCTGCAAACTGGAATTTGAGCTGATACATGTTGAATTGATTTAATCTAAATTACTACAATGCAGAGATGAGAGAAGACGCAAGAGGAGAAGGACGGTAAGTTTTCTGTGGACAAAACATGCTACTATTAAGTCGACCAATTACAGTTGATGCAACATGTAGTGACATTTCTATGGAGGCGCATGTCAGGCTGCGGCGTAGAAAAACCCAAACCTAGATTCTACACCAAACCAACACTGCACCAAAGCTCACAGTGCTCACAGTGTTCACACTCAACAAGAAATGAGTGCTGCACTTGAATCCACAGCATCGACAGTTTATCCAAACAGTTTCCAGCAAATCAGAGTTTACATCTTTTCCTAAGATGCTAAAACAGAGAAATGGAAAATTTGCACCGTGACACCAGATCTTATATATTCAATTTACTTTGGGCATAGTGTAGCGATGCTACATTACATCTCTCTGGCTGCAGAATAAATGATAACTTTTCATGATAACTTTTTATTTTTGTGCTTTCTGTCTTTTCTCCCTTGATTTCGATTTCACACACGAGCTAAAATCTTTTCTTTTTCTGTGGTGAACCAACTTTCAATAATCAAACAACATATTTCATCATCCAAATCCAAATTGATCCGATTTAAAAGCACTCAAAAGACAACTCTGGCGGTTAATGATCTGGCAAAATCAATAGCATAAATATCTGCACACTCTAAATAATAATACAAATCTGCTTTTATTATCTATTCCCCTCTGCAGCTGTTTGATTGTGCCATCACTCTATTGATGTAACAGCTTTAATACGCACGGACAGAGGAGACTAAAAATAACAGCGTTTTTTTGTGAAGCGAGCAGAGAGCTGATGTCACCCGTCAGAGTGAAGCGAGCAGGGACGGCTGCAGGGACAGTGACAAACGGGAGGTTTTGTACGTGGGCAACAATGAAAGCTGAGTGTGGGCAGTCACCTTCACATCACAGACACTCCCAGAGACGGGAAAAGTAACGAGGAGACGGACAAAGGCGATGCACAGAAGAGGACGCGAAGAGTCGTCAAACTGATGGGTTCAATATCAAAACATGTGATGAGGAGAAAAAGAAAAGCTGCACGATGCCTTAAAATCATCATCTTCAGCTCATTAGCTTGTGTTTTCTACAGGAAAAAACAGGTTTAACTGTGAAAACATTCGCTTTTATTTCCTGTGTGTGTGTTTGTGTGTGTGTGTGTGTGTGTGTGTGTGTGTGTGTGTGTGTGTGTGTGTGTGTGTGCGTGTGGTGGTGGTGGGATGCACTGAAGTTCATCCACTGCTGCCCAGACCAGAGCCAAAGCCAAAAAAGAGAGAAGAAGCAGGTCCGTCAGAGCAGGTCGGCACCAATAGGGTGAAAGTAGGAAGTGAGTGTGGTTGGCTGTGTTGGCTCTCGCTGCTGCTATGGAAACAGCATGACGGAGCAGACTGACTCTGCAGAGGCGACGCTACATGTGCAGGCTCGTTTAAATCATTTAGCAAAATGAAGTTGACATGAAAGAAACTAAAATGAGAGTGGTGAGAACATTCTGCAAGAGTTACTACTTTAACACACACACACACACACACACGGGGAGCTTTCATATGAGTAAAAGTAATTGTTGTGTTATATATGCTATTAATGTTTAACAGACTTTAATTATCAGAATCAGAATCATTTCCCATCCGAAACATTTCTATGACACAGATGTTGAATTAGATGTGGAAACATCATGAAAAAGTTTTCATTTTACGGCTGATGTTATAGTTACGGTCGTGTTTACAGTGAATCTCCGGGAAATTAATTTAAGTCAGTGTCATGTCCTGTGTGTGTGTGTGTGTGTGTGTGTGTGTGTGTGTGTGTGTGTGTATGAGTGTGTGTGTAGCTCTAGAGGGTGAATTCCCAGAGGTCCCACGGCTGCTGCCATCACTTCATGTGTAGCCTTGCCGTCTCCATAGTAACCGCTGCCATAGAGACGGTCTCCCAGGAGCCGGGTGTATTTTTACTCAGTCTCTCTCTCTGTCATAAAACAGAACACGCTGCACTCAGTGGGCGATCGCTCCACATTCGGCGACGCTCCACATAGACTCTAATACATCGGGCTCCTTTATAGCACCTGAGCATGAGCTTAAGAGCAACTTCTCCACGTCTCTGTTTCAGTCTCCATCTCTTCACGGAGCTGTGAACGCTGCAGAGCTGCAGCCCAGGCCTCTGCACTGGTTCACAATTAAACAGTCACACACTGTCACACACTCAAGCACATGTCAAAACAGACACACACAATAATTCCAATACGACAATGAGAGACAGACTCTTTTAGTTTACGGTTACTTGGGACAGTGAGAGAAAACCCAGCAGTAGCTGACAACTAGTTTCCAAATATAAAGTGAAGTAATGGCGTCCTGAAGTGACACTCCAGAGAGTCTCTGCCATTTGTTTTTGGTGGCTGGTCCCAGTGCGTGCTCCGTGTGCATTTGAGTGCACGTGAATCCCTCCCTGTGAAAGCTGCGGCCTCTGTGCATTTATGGAGCCAGATGGTTTCAGGTCCGATCTGCAGAGATGTGAACATGACACCCTGATGCACGATGTAAACACACCTGTCACGGTGCAGTTAAACCAGAAACACAGCCGATAAAACTATTTGTCTATTGGCTACTCACAGCACGGCTACGCCAACGATGCTAGCCATGCTACCTGTCTGCTGCCCACCATGCAGGACCCCTGAGAG